GAGCACGCGGAGCCCCAGCACACAGGTGTGAGCCCCCTGAGCACGCGGAGCCCCAGCTCGCCGGTGTGAGCCTCCAGAGCACGCGGAGCCCCAGCACGCGGGTGTGAGCCTCCAGAGCACGCGGAGCCCCAGCTCGCCGGTGTGAGCCTCCAGAGCACACGGAGCCCCAGCACGCCGGTGTGAACCCCCACTAGAGCACACGGAGCCCCAGCACACCGGTATGAGCCCCCACTAGAGCACACGGAGCCCCAGCACACCGGTATGAGCCCCCACTAGAGCAGAGGGAGTCCCAGCATGCCGGTGTGAGCCCCCACCAGAGCACACAGAGTCCCAGCATGCCTGTGTGAGTCCCCATTAGAGCATACAGAGCCCCAGCACGCCGGTGTGAACACACAGAGCATGCGGAGCTCCAGCACAGTGATGTTAACACACAGAGTCCCAGCACGCCAGTGTGAGCTCCCAGAGCATGCAGAGCCCCAGCACACCGGTGTGAGACCTCAGAGCACATGGAGTCCTAGCACACTGGTGTGAGCCCCCACCAGAGCACTGGCGCCCAGCATGCCGGTGTGAGCCACACTAGAGCAGAGGGAGTCCAGCACGCCGTGTGAACGCCCCAGAGCACTCCTCACCCCCAATCATGTGCACATATTGATCAGAGTTTTGTGTATTTAGCAAAAGTAATTGCGTGCCAATAAAAATAAAAATAAAAGTGATGTTTCATTGTGCCTTTGCATTTAATTTACAGTATTTCACATAGAGGAGAAGGAAGGGAGCAAAGGTGAGGATTGAAAACCTCCCCTTCAGAAAGCAAAAGTGGGGAGTACATAGGAAAGAAGGGGTGCCCTAGAGGGAGACATTTTCATTTACACCAGTACTGAACTCAAGATCTTACTTGGCTTTTTTACATAAGACTGGCACTCTACCAATTGAACCACAGCTCCACCTCTAGCTTTTTGGTGGTTAAAGATAAATGTCACACACTTGGGCTGGGAAGGTGGCTCAGGGGTAGAGCACTTGCCTTGCATGCATGAGGCCCTGGGTTCGATTCCTCAGCACCACATAAGCAAAAGGAAAAAAGCCAGAAGTGGTGCTGTGGCTCAAGTGGTAGAGCACTAGCCTTGAGCTGAAGAGCTGAGGGACAACGCCCAGGCCCAGAGTTCAGGCCCCACGACCGGACCCCCCCCCAAAATAAAAAAGTCACACACTTTCCTGCTTGGGCTGGCTTCGAACTAAAATCCTCAAATCTCAGCCTTCTTGGTAACTAGAATGACAAGAATGAGCCACAAGTGCGGGGCTATAGGTAGACATTTTCAATGGTCTCAGATAACCTAACAAGCCTTCTGGGTATTCTATGTAAAAACTCAAATGCATAAATACCTATTTCAAAGATTCTAGTAACTTTTTTCCTTTTTGCCAATCCTGGGGCTTGAGCTCAGGGTCTGGGTGCTGTTCCTGAGCTTCTTTTGCCCAAGGCTAGCACTCTACCACTTGAGCCACAGTGCCACTTCTGGCTTTATGTGGTACGGAGGAATAGAACCCAAGGGATTCATGCATGCTAGTCAAACACTCTACTGCTAAGCCACATTCCCAACCCATCCAGTAACTTTTTGTTTTTTGGTCGGTCGTGGGGCTTGAACTCTGGGCCTGAGCGCTGTCCCTCAGCTCCCAGTAACTTTTTAAATGTATGTAGCTATAGCAGGAATAGAAAATTTATAGCTGAATGCTGGTGTCTCACAACTGTACTCTTAGCTACTCAGAAGACTAAAATCTGAGGATCACAGGTAGAAGCCAGCCCAGGCAGAAAAGTCTGTAAGACTCTTACCTCCAGTGAACTATTCAGAAAAAGCTGGAAGTAGCACTGTGGCTAGCCTTGAGCAAAAGAAGTTCAGGAACTGCACCTGAGCCCTGAGTTCAAGCCCCAGGACCAGAAAAGAAAAAAAATGTGAAATGGTTAAAAAGTCCAATGGTGAGGGTTTTGTTTTGATTTTGCCTAGAAGGTTGCTATGTTTTTATTTGTACCAGTTTGATCTATATGGGAAACGTTCTTCAACAATTAAACTGGATTTTTTTTTTTTTTTGCCAGTCGTGGGGTCTGAACTCTGGCCTGGGTGCTGTCCCTCAGCTCTTCAGCTCAGGGCTAGCACTCTACCACTTGAGCCACAGTGCCACTTCCAGCTTTTCTGCTTACGTGGTGCTGAGGAATCAAACCCAGGGCCTCATGCATGCAAGGCAAGCACTCTACCACTGAGCCACCTTCCCAGCCCCTGGAATTTTCTTTTAAACTTGGAATTTTATTTTGCTGAGTTTTTTAAATCAAAAAACAAAACTGGTGGCTCAGGTCTGTAATCTTTGCCACTCAGGAATCGGAGATCTGAGGACTGAAGTTTGAAACCAGCAGGGCAGGAAAGTTTATGAGATCCTTATCTCCAATTAACCAGGACCTGGCACTGTGGCTAGAGTGTGGTAGAGTGCTAACCTTGAGCAAAAGAGCTCAGGAACAGCACCTCGGCCAGAGTTCAGGCCCCAAGATGGTAAAAGAAAAAAAAAGTGGGGTTAGAAGGGGGAACAAGTGTAAGATATAAGAGGAGCCTTAGGAAAAGCCTGGCTTTTCTACATGGGGTCACACGGGATCCCGTCAATGCTGGGATTACAGACTGGCTGTGCACCTCCTGCCTAACACACGAGGCCCTGGCTGCACTCCGACACTGGCGGTGGGGACCAGGGAGTGAGTTCCTGTTTGACCTAATTTTTGTTTTTTAAAAGTAATATGGGTTATCTGTGTAATAATAATATAAAAAATAAGGCAAACTATGCCTCCCTGCTAAGTCCCTAGGTCAGGGAGAAGTGTGGTGGGGGGGCTTGGCCTCTGCTAGCACAGGGCGGCTCAGTGCTCTACCCACAGCCTGGATTATTTTAGTTCTTAAAGCAGAGGTCTGCCATTTAGAGATAAGCCAGTGGGAAGGCCTTAAGAGCAGTGGCCGGACTAGTGAAGAGGAAGGCTAGAGGCTGAGAGCCCAGGACTGAGGGGGGGAGAGCAGGACAGACTGGGGACTTGACTGGTGGAGGGAAGAGCCTGAGCGGAGGCTGGTGCAGGCAGGTGGATTGTCTGTTGGAACAGGTGCTGGGTGCCGGAAGGGCAGGACCAGGGCTGTGGTGCAGGGCTGGGTCCTCCCTGGGCGGGCGGGGAGGGGGAGGTGGCTGGTGAGCATGACAGACTCTTCCTCTCATCCATCACTTCAGAAGCCAGGTGGCCTGCTTGACTCTGTAGTCCACCTCTTCCAGAGGCGGAGGCACAGGAGGTCAAGATCAGCCTGAGCAACACAGCAAGACTGTGTGGAAAACAAACCAAGCTGGACAATGGTAGCTCACACCTGTCAGCCTAGTTCCTCATGAGGCCGAGGTCTGAGTATTGAGGTTCAGAGCGAGCCCTGGCAGAAAAGGCCCCGAGGCTTGGATCTGCAACGAAGCAGCAAAGTCTGCAAGTGGAGCTCGGCTCAAGCAGTGGAGCATCAGCCTTGGTCTGAAGATCAAAGGAAGACCTTAAGGCCCTGAGTTCAAGCCCTGGTCCTGGCGCTCACAAAACAAAACGAACACAAAACCATCGAAGAAACCCAAAGGCACTCAGAGGAATCAACCTGGAGCCGCAGCCGGTGTGTGTGTGGGGAATCGCAGCGGGGGG